TGAATCGAAATGGCAATGTCTGTTGGTCGAACCGTTTGCTTGTTTCAATTCTTATTTCAGTCTCAATATCACATCAAAACTTTCCACCAATGCTTCTTTTTGACAGATGCCGGTACATCATATTGTTTAAAAATGAAAGATTTGTTTTAAGAAGGGATTCTGCTAGGAAGGGAAGGGACTCTGTAATAACAATAAAACTATTTGAGTGAAACTGCATATCCTTATGACCCTTTCAATCAACTCAAACGACCATCTCTAATAATTGCATTCTACTACGCTTTCGTTGCTGTCCTATTTGTTAAGGGTGTTGTAGTTGTTGACTTGAAATTGGGAGAAAATTTTGTGCGATTTAAAGCCAAATACCGTCGCATGATTCGCATCAAAATTGCGTAATTTGTGTGCCAGGGCTAATTGATACGAAAACTCGTATCATCGACAAGGTCTTTGGCATGATAATTGCAAATGGCTGCACAGTATGGTACATAAATATGGCCAATAAACGAAATTTATCGTACAAGTCCTTACCCCATCCCCTCGACTGCTTTTTGGTACATTGCTTATTGATTATTTTTACTAATTTATGTGCTAATAAAATTGTCAATTTGTATGCGTGCTCTGCTATGCACAGGCATGAGGATGTGCGATAGCAGGAGGAGGTAGGACAAGCAGCTACCAAAGGAAGGCGATGGGCGTGGCTGACAAAACCATTAGCCTTAAGTGTTTGGCCAGGCCACGTTTGTTTCTTCGGTTTCCCCTACTGTTGGCTTTGGTTTTTTGGTTTTTGTCGCAAGGGCAGAACGCCAACGGCTTTTACAAATTGACGCTGCAGGACATTTCTGGTAATGATTTCTCGTTGAAAGCATTAAAGGACCTTTCGGCACTGCCTGTTGGAGCCGCTTTAACGAGCGTGAGAGTGCGATTCTTAGAAACTTATTATGCAGGACTAAAGCTTAAATATGAAACGAAAGAAGATATGGAATTGTGGGAAGAAGCAGACGCAAATTTTAAAGTAGGTTTTTAAAGAAGAAGCAGATTTAAAATGCTACTAGCCAAGGTCAATACTGCAGGGAAAGCGGTGGTCCTTATCTTCATGTTGCCTCAGGAGCTAGAAAATCAATTGCGTATAAATAAAACTTGATGGGATGATTAAGTATATCTATTGCTAGATTTGTGGAGAAAACTTGCTTGATTTTTATCAAGAAAAAAAAGAATAATATTATATTAATATAGCAAAAAATCTTGTTTTATTTCTACTAGATTCGTCAGATTTGAGCAGGAAACTTGCTTGATTTTTACCAAGAAACATAATTAATATAGCAAAGAGACATGTTTTATTTTGGAAAGTTACTTGGCTTAATGTTTTGAAAACTTATATTTGGATCTCTTTGGTATAACACTATTATTTGTTATTCAATAATGATCTTGTAATGTTTATTTAAGTTGTGTTCAGAAACGGTAAAAAGTTTAATCAGAAATGTATCAAATGGCATACGTATTCTGATTTTGATACTAAAATTTTAAGGTTTTCTATAACAACAACTCTCTAGGGGACTTTGGTTCCATGACTTTTCCACATAGCTTGTTTTTTCGCTTCAATTAGAACGTCCGACCAAAGCTTAATCATTGAACACACTGGCAAGTTGAGGAGCAAAGCAATTTACTTTGCTTGTCGTCTGCCTACGACGTGTCCGCCCACAGATTTCACGCTTTTTGCCAACGCATATAGTATATGTATCTATATTCATGGCATACTCGCACTCCTTTCGTTTCTTTTTCTGCAAGCAGTTGACACAATTCGACTTTTGACATCGTACATCAATGAACTTTGCACTAATCTATTTGTGTTTGTTTAACTTTGTAACGATTAACTTGGAGGCGTGTGTGCTGAGCAACATTTCCACACACGCTCTATGACTGTCGCAGAACATGGCCGGGGCAGCTACCTTCACCCCCGAAACTTGTTGTTTGCCCTTATTGGGAATAGGGCGACCTTCGGCCAGGTGATGTGGGTTTCAATTCAGCAGCTGACAAGCTCCTGATGTTCTAGCATTTCATTTCTGTTTGTGTGCCGCCTTTGTTTACTTTTGCTTGGAGGGTGTAGTTCAAAAAGTAAAGCAAGCAATATGGCCAGCAATAAGCAAAACATTTGAACATATTGTAGCTTGTCAAAGATTTGACCAGCATTTCGAAATGCGCTCTGGAAGGAGTATGGTTTCTTAGTCAAAAAAATTGCCAAAAGCTTGGGTGGTTTTCTAATCTCCTGTAATGAATAATTAATTTTTTATCAGCCCAATACAATCCATTTTTAGTAAAGTGTTTAATAAACAATTCTTCTTTTAACTAACTTCTAACCTAAAGAATAGCTTTGGAGTAAAGTATTCAAATTTTTGTCTTATTTTCTATATATCTCTCTTTATCTTTATTTGTCAATTTACTTGTAAGACTACCGTTTTTCAAATATGAAGCCTGCTCACAAAAATTAAGCTCCCTGGACATTAAAAATGTAATATTTAAACTATGGTTTTTAACTTTAGGAACAACGTCTGAATAAGGTATTCTAAATTCAGTCTCTTTCTACAAATCCCTCTTTATATATATCTGCCAATATAATTGTATGACTAACGTTTTTCAAATATGAAGCCTGCTCACAAAAATTAAGCTGCCTGGACATTAAAAAAGTAAATTTTCAACTATTTCCTCAATGATAATAAAATTCAGTGCCATTTTTTCTGTTCAATTCCCGTCTTGGCTTGGCGTTGATCGTTTTGCCTCCGAGAGGCGTTTTATTTGACACCTCTGTCCTTGACCCGCACAAATACTAGTGGTGTTGCAGGAACGTGCCGTTGATGCTGCCTCAACCTATCGTGCGCCTCATCGCCTGCCAATTATGAGCCGATTTCATGCTACTCGGTAGCTGGCCATTAATACCGCAAATTAGCGAACTATGTTTGCCAGCTAATAACTTCTAGTTCCATGGATACGGTGCTCGGCTCGGACTGGCTCGACTCGGTTATGGCTTGATTAGTGTGCACACCAATGCACAGGGCCTTGGCGCTGATTAAACGATTATAATGTTGAGTTTGAATCGTGTGGTGTGGTATCGCGTCGCATCCATTTGAGTTAAAGGCAATGCGAAACTGAGACCGAGAGATTTGTTAATTATGCACGTTATAATTAATGCCGTTGGTCTCGATGGGCATGCTCAGCAAATCGCCAATAAATTTGCTTGCTGCAAATATTAGTTTGCTCTCCCACCTCCAATATTCCTTTAGTCCATGGCGACAACACAACACTTCATCTGTCAGACTGTCCGCCCGCCCGCCTGCCTGCCTGCCTGCCAGTTGATTTTAATGCTTAAACGAAATCTAATCACGTTCTAATTTCAGTTAAATGTGACAGCAATTTGTGTCATGTTGCTACTCGTATTTGCTTTGGTATATCATTTCCATTTCCTGAATTTGAGTGTTTTGCTGGATATTTGGTTTGCTCTGATTTATTGAAGAGATAATTAACTGCGGTATTGGGCTAGCTCTTAGGTGTGAGAAGGTAGAGAACCATTTCTTGTCAAAAAATGCCGAATATTTAAGTTACAGTTGAAGGCATACACTTTAAGCTTTTTAGCATTTTGAAACTTCCTTTATAATCCTTTTGTAGAGTAATGTTGCGTTGCTACTAACCAGCTGCAGGAAGAAGGGAAAAATTAGGTTTTCCTAAAGACAGCGGACACTCAACCAGATTAGAATTATTGAGTGGTTAAGGAAGTTTTTTCGAAATCATGTGCTCTTTATTTCTTAATAATCAACTAATGCTGTGCATAATTTGTTATTTCTACATTGAGATTGAGACACCATTGATCACATCAAGAACTAATCTACATCTACATCTTAAAACACTATGTCTTCCATGAAGAGCCAACAATCAATTTGAGACAAAAGAGTTTCTGTTTGTTTGGAAAAACTTGTAATATCGCAGGTTGGTTAATTCTGATTGGTACTCAAGCATTTGTTTGCCAGAAATTTTGGGAGAACCGAGAAAAAACTATCGCGAAGAAAGCCTTTTAAAAACTTGCATCCGAGCGAACAAAGTGATTCCAGCAATAAGCATTTCAGAAGAAATATCGTTGTTTTTGTTCGCTATAGCAGTTCATTAACAGAGCAGAGGTTTTGGAAAAAATTAAGATGCCTTTACAAAAGTGGTCTGCATACTTTAAAAGAAGGTGTAGACTCTTCTCATCAACAGAAAAATTAAAGCTTTTGTTTTGTATACACGCACTTCAAAAAAATAGGCAGAAGGCCCCGTTCTGCCCAGAGTATTGTGACATTAATTGCTTATTATACTTATCACGTGGAAAATGAAGGCCTCATCAACATCAGAATCAGCATCACTACCACCACTGCCACTGCCATCGCCATTGCCATCGCCATCATCATCTTTATAATCTACATCGTCAACGTCAACTGTCAGACACCGATTGCTGTTTATCAAAATAGCAACGTTCAGTTCTTTAGCCATTATTTTGTATTTATACAGGAACCTAATTAGCTTACAGACATTGTTACATTTCATTTAACAAATGCTCCCTCGTGTCTAATTTTAAGTCGCAATTACAAGCATTTCAGCGCCACTCAATTGTCTGATAGTCAGGAGTGCCTCCCCCCCTTCCCACTCCTTGAGCCTGTCCCCATCAACACAAGCCACGCACAGGGCTCCTAAGCCAAGGCAATAAATTTCATTTGACGATGCTCATTTTGAGCTGCTTGGTTACCTTGATTTTGTTGTGCCAGCATTTGAAATGCGAAGCCAGTCGTTGCACGGTTGCCTAGTAGCAGGAAGCCAGTAGCTGGGGAGCTGGAGAGCTGGGGAGGGGGTATGGTTTTAAATTATTTGATAATTTATGCGAAAATTATGTGACAATTGAGCGAGAAAGCAGCTCTGTTCTGTGTTGTTTACTGCTATTTGTTGCCTGGCAACCGATAACCACCCACAAAAGCCCCGTAGTCTTAGGCCAATATCGAGAATGTTCTTTATTGCAAGCTGCAATGGAACCATCAATCAATTAGTTGCCATGTCAAATCTCTTGCCAAAGATTACGCCGCTCCTCTATCTGCCTCATTTGCTCCGGCTCCGACCCGAATATGCGAAAGAGGCGCACTGGGCATATAAATCGGTAGAAACGCCAGAACACAAAGTACAGAGTGCTGCCGAACATGGCGACGCAAGTGAAGATAATGTGGCCAGACGACAGAAGTCGCACAGATTGCAGTGAGAACAGTAGCCTATATAGTGGGGATTGAAGCCGTCAATGGTGTGTGTCCGATGTAGCGGACAAGCTGCTGGACTGCCCAAATATGCGAAGCTCTTGCCGATGGCTGTGTGTTGGAGTAAACGTAATAATTGCTATTGAGCGAAATGCCACCTTGGCCCACTCACCACTGGATATGAGCTGGAGGACACGCCTAATTGATTTGAATGGCTTGATTTGTTTCTGATACTTGAATTTCATTATAATTGCTCACAAAATAAACTGACAACGAATTTTACAGACAGCCTGCTTGTATTTTAGTTGAGGCCCAATTAAAAGTACAAAATTATTAATTAATACCACAGCAATTCAAATTAAAAATAGTCATCATATTGCAATGGCCATCTCACAAATTCATTGTAAACTGTGTAATTGTGGAGCATTCAGACCAGGGTAAGCAATGCTCTGCTTGTTAACGCCATTTTGATTTCCACAAACATACCAGATAAATTTGCTTAAAATAGTTCCAAGAAGAGAGCTTCTTAGTTCGAATTTATTGTAAGGCCAACCTCTACTATTCTCTATTTTATTTAATAACAGATTATCTTTCTCATAATGATCAATTTTATTTGCTACATTAGATTTCGGATGTAAGAACAACGCCAAAAATATCACAAATTAAATAAAACCCCCACTCCATGAACTCTAATTTGAATACCCTGTAACCAATGGGTAAAAAGCTATACTTTTACGTTCATTAAACATGTAGAACCCCACAAAGTATACAGACATGTTCCTAATCAGCATAGAAATAAAACGCGACTATGTAGAAATGTCCATGTGTCCGTCCGTTCAAACATCTGTCTGTATGAACGCAAGGATTTCAGAAACCATAACAGCTAGAATAACCCAACTTGGTATACAGATAAATCTGAAAAAGGACTAGTTTATGGTTTATTCTGATAAATTTCCCAGATGCCCTTGTAAAAGTAATTTTTCATAACTGCCTTAATTCCTGAAATTGAAATTATTGTTCTAAAATTCGACAATTACAATTAGTTCGATTAGATTATGGATTAGTTCGCTATACAGAATAATAAATTGTGTGGTCGTTAATAATTTTTTAAATAATTTGGATTTGTCCCTTAAGGAAATAGAACGGGAAGTAGAAGTAGAAAGGCAAAGTGTTGAATAAAACATATTTAGGGACTCTACATACAATTATAATTCGTTCGATTAGATAAAAGATTATTTAAACTATTGGAACATTTCTAAAAAATTGTGAGCTGGTTGATAATTTTAAAAACAATAGAATTTGAATAAAACCTATTTATTGACTCTACACATATAATTAGTTCGATTAGATCAAAGATTAGTAAACTACCCAGCATTTGTGCTGAAACTATTCGCACATTTCTAATAAATTGTGTGGTCGTTGATAATTTTGAAAATATTATGGATTCGTCCCTAAAGAAAACAGAAGGGGAAAAATCATGTTACAGTGTGTAGTCAGCCGGTTTAGAGCCCTTCCAAAAAACTTTACCTATAAACAACTTTGCTTTCTGGCGCAGGCTGGCAACTTAAGCCCAACAGCACATTCAAGGATGCTGTTCCAACCTGACATCAACCCTCGCATAAACAACACTTAAGCGCTCACCCACATAGTCTCGCCCATTTTCACTTAGAAAAACCTTTTGGCAGCACAAACAAGCGTCAAGCTTTTACGCCATTTGCACCGTATATAACGTTACCGTTAGCGTTACAGTTACCGTTGGAGCATAGCATAACCATAGCCATGGCTAAAGCCGAAGCCGAAGCCAAAGCCACTTGATGATGAAGACATTTTTCTTGCTAAAAATTGTATTTACAACATCATTTACGCTTAAACATTTTGCCTGCCTGGTCGGATCGCGACCGTGCCACAAAAACCCATTCAAAGTGCCGCCACTCAAGTGCCACTTTTTTCTTTGGGTTTTTCTTTATTTTCCATCTTTTTTTTTTTCTTCATAAAGCAGCAGACGACGTCATAGAGTGGCAGCATCTTATGCCGTTTTATGGCAACTTTAGTGGTCAATGCAATAACAACAACTACAACTACAGCAACAACGGCAACAGCAATAGGAACAGCAAAAAGCCCATGAAGTAGCCCCATGAAGAAAATTGCAGACGGCTCACTGACCGAGCTAAGCGCGCCGTGACGAACGCTTCTAGCCTTCCAAGTCCCAGTCCCAGTCCCAGGCCCACTCCCAGTCCCGGAACCGTTTTGCTCTTTCCTCATCTTGTTAAATTATGTAAAAATGTAATTTTCATAAAAAAGAACTGCGATCCGATTGTGTGGGCGAGTGGGTGTGTGGCTATGTCTTGGCGGTACTTATAAATTGTATTACAAGTGGTCGAGTGTTTGCCGTGGTCCGCTGCTGTTTGATGTTGCCGGCAAATTGAATCGAAATAAAATTGTAATGCGTTCAAACTGTTACTGGGTCAGTGTTTTCCTCTTTTCTTCCACTCCTGTTACTCGAATTTTGTGGCTGCTGATGCGCAGCTAAGACAATTTCGGCTTAAGCTGAGCAATGAGTTTAATTTAAAACGCATTTTCAGGCTTCCTTTGCAACTAAAGTATAATTTTGGAACGAGAGGAACAGATTAAAGAAATCTCAGTTAGGCTCTGTTCTGTAAGTTAAGCTACAAATTGTAATAATTATTTGGTTTCTCAACTGAACTATAATGAACCAAAGTGCAATAATACAATCGAAGAAAATTTAGGTGATTGCTAATATTAGAAAAGTGTGTTTTCAAATACATATGTATATGTAAAAGTATGTATATTTTAGCTCTTAATTAGGATAAACAAACTCTTGCTTAGCTTTTTTAAGCCTTGGGTATTCTTTCCAACACGCTACGGCTCATAGAAATGATAATCTTTTAAATGTGCCAAGAATGAATTCGGTTGGAAAATGATGTCAGTTTTAGAAGTGATGGGGTTTGTCAAGAAAATGTTGTTTAGAAATCGTGAAAGTAGTATTCGAATAAGAGTTAATTGCTAAATATTAGAAAAATGTGTCTTTTCAAAAACATATACATTTAAGCACCTAATTGGGTTAAAAACACTCTTTTTATATAAAATAAAAGTTTAGTTAATTGCTAAATATTAGAAACATGTGTCTTTTCAAAAACATATACATTTAAGCACCTAATTGGGTTAAAAAAAATTTTTTATAAAATAAAAATTTATTTAATTGCTAAATATTAGAAACATGTGTCTTTTCAAAAACATATACATTTAAGCACCTAATTGGGTTAAAAGAACTCTTTTTACATAAAATAAAAATTGAGTTAATTGCTAAATATTAGAAACATGTGTCTTTTCAAAAACATATACATTTAAGCACCTAATTGGGTTAAAAGAACTCTTGCGTGGAACTGGAAGAGTTTTTTAAATCCGTGTAAAGATTACGGCTACGTTCCAATACGCAGAAAGAATAAATTCGTTTGGAAAATGCCTGTCAGTTTCAAAGGTGATAAATACAGCTTACATAATGTATAGATATGTCACTATTTCGAAATCTTAAGAGCCATATTCGAATGTGAACATTTGATTTCTGTATAAAATGTGAGCTCAAAAAATTGCATCTAGCTTAAAGTCTCGGCCCTTGTTCGAACCTTAAGCAGCAGCATCTCAATCAAAACACTATTAGTGCCTGTTTTTTAGCTTTTATGTACACATGTATTTTGCATATTTGTCTTGGCTGTCTGCCCGTCTGCTAGTCCACTCGTATGCAGTATATTTTTCGACCCTTGTATTAGCACTACTTTTGTGTTTATGTTCGAGTATCTATCGCTACCTGTCCTTGATGTCTACGGTTCTTCATTAGGCTCTTTATTGAGCCACACGCACAAAAATTGCCTTTTGGTCTTAGCACTTGGACAAATGTGGGTCGCATTTGAACCTTATTGCTTTTAGCCAGCTTGTTTGTGTGTTTGTTTGTTTGTTTGACTGATTTGCTGTTGTTTATTTTGATTTCCGGCTCGAATACTCGAACGAGGGCGGCGTCGTGTATCCACATTGATTGCGTTGTCGTTGTCGTTCCCGTTGTCATTGCCATTGTCCTTGTTGTAGTCATAGTCGTTGTCATCGGAGTCGTGTGTCCTTTGCCTTAAGTGCGGGGTACACGGCAGCCAGATTAGTGTTGACAAACAGCAAAAGGCAAGCACGTGCTATCCGGATACAGACATCTAGGTAATCCCATAAACACCCGCCCACACACATCCATGACATTTGCGGACTATTGAATTGAATGAAACTTTCCCTTTGTTTGGTTCAACAGCAAACTTCAAAGACTTAATGTTTACACTCGTATACTATATACAAGTATACATAATCATTTGGTTTTTTTTTTTTTTGCGGGTCAAACTGATATTTCAATTGGCCAATAAACAGTTCATAATGCCTTTTTATGATTCAATTGAATTCAATTGAATTGGAATTCAAATTTGAACATTATTATTTAACATAAAAAATGCATTTATAACGAATTTATGTTTTTGTTTTTTCGCCCGCGTATTTATGCGTTTATTATTAGCATTAATGTTGTGTAAAGTCATAATTCCCAATTTATCCATCAAATGCTAAAAAATACATAATGAAAGCTCGCAAATATTCTGCCATAAAAGGCAAGCAAAAAAGCTCGCTCGTTCTGCGGCTGACACGAAACAACTTTTAGCGTCGTCATAAAAATGCTTGTTATATTTTCATTCTACACACATTTAATATTTGTTTTGAGTTGTGTTTTTCCCATTTTTTCCTCATTGCTTGTATTGTACATACGAAAAGAGAATTTACGATTTGTGATGCGCATTTAAGTGCTGTGATTAATTTGTATAATTGCGGCTTGAAGCAATTAAACTCTATGTCAGCAAGTTAAAGGTCCTCTACAGGAATTACGCGTAAGTGGAAAAAAATGTATAACATTTTTGTGCACCTTTAATATTAATATTAATAAGTATTAGCTGGCTTTTTCTCATGAGTTAGCAATTATGCGTATTTTTTGTGTAGCTATTGTTCCTATATTCTTCTAAATGTTCTTAACGAGAATTCAGGGCGTATCTTCCATTTTATTTTCTTTAAAATTAGAACTTTGTACCCAAAAAATTGAAAATAGTTACTGCGAGGAGTGTGGCTGACCCCACGAAATATATTTTTTATAAGTTAGCATGGATATAGCCATGTCTGGATGTATTATCCCACATTGTGTGTAGTACAGAAGTAAACCATAAAAGAGAG